ACAGGGTCTCCCTGTAGCCCCAGCTGGCCTGGAACTCACTATGTAGACCAGGGTGGCCTTGAACTCACAGAGATCTGCCTGCCTCTGCCTCCTGAGTGCTGGGTTTAAAGGTGTGTGCCACCACACCTCGCTTAAATAGCTCAAATAGTTTTTTAAAGAGCCAGGAGAACTTTTAAATTGTGAATGCTGAATATTTACAGTAATATAAATAAGAATTTTACTGAAACAGTTATATACCATAAAAATTCAAGCAAAAACTAAGAAAATACAAAACAAATTAAAATTTCAATAAAGTTTATTTTTATAATGTTTTCTACTAAACTCTAAATAAGAAGAAACTCCATCAAGTACCTGTTTGTACTTTAAGCCCTTTATCAAAAAAATCCCAACTCTATTGATTTCTGCAAAATATAAGTCAGAAAAATAAGCCTTCTAAGCCAACAGAAGTTTGATGAGTAGAGTTTGGGTATAAAGAAGGAAAAATAAGATCCTTAGGGAAGAATATTTTTAAATCAAGATGGGGCTGTCAAGAAAAAGAAACTTTAGGGCTGAAAAGAAGGTTCAGTGGTTAAGAGCACTGGCTGTTCTTGCAGAGGACTTGGGTTCAGTTCCCAGCACCCACATGGCAGCTAACAACCATCAGTAACTCCAGTAACAGGGGATCCAACACCCTCTACTGAACTCCACTGGCACTGCACAACACGGTTACATCTACCTACACAATATACTCATAAGCAATACACTCACACACATAAAATAAAAATAAATAATTTTTAAAAAGAAAAAAGAAACTCTAAAATCATGTCCAGAGAAATGAGAGAGACAGCATAACATGAAAAGAAAATAAGCAAGAAAACCTATGGTGAGCTGCTTCACCTTCTCACACTGTTAAAACAAGTCAGCTGTCAAAAGCCTATATGCACTACAGTTGCCGGGGTGGGGGATGAGGTAATTTTTACCTAATTACTTAAAAGACCAAACAGATTCCTGGGACTCACTGCAGCCTCATTAAAACAGAATTTGCAAGGACTCAATAATTTGCATTTATGTGAAACAAAGAAAAACATACCATGTTAAAAACTACAGCTCATTGACTGGTTAATGATACTGTACTATACCAAAGGACAGGTAAGATAGAGAAGTCAGAGCCTGTGCTCAGTGACATCAGTAGCAGCCTGCACTCAGCCACAGGGAGCATCCACAGTGTAGAGATTGATAAATGAAAATCAGGGCTTGATTTATTGTTTTGTGGCCTGTCCAGACCACAGGCCATCTGCCTGGTTACAAACAAGGTTTCAATAAAACACGGCCAGGCCCGTGTGTTTACATATTGTCTTTAACTCAAAAGCCTAAAATGTTTTTTTTCTAGCTCTTTACAGAGAAAGTTCTGCACACTTAAGAAACTGATGGAGACAACAGCATACCAACAAAAACGTTATCCATCAAACTGCACTGTTGCTTTATGAATAGCTCACATACACCAAGAAATACATTATCCAGCTCAACAAGAGGGTGCTAGCCTCACTGATGGGAATGTGGGGGTCTAACTCTCTTGTTTACTGCTGCCTTAACTTGTCAGCACAAAAGAAAATAATCCAGCTCAAATTAAGAGTGATAAAAATCAACAAAAGCATTGCTGCTACTTTTGCACAGTATGCACTATAATTGCTTTATATTGGCAAATTTACAGGAAAAAAGCCATATAGAGACATACACACATACCACCCCACTCCACCTAGAGAACAGATGCTTAAACATTTACCAGTTCTACCCCTCTCCCCACCCCTGTCTCATGTAGCCCCAAGCTGGCTTCAAACTTGCTTTGTAGCCAAGGATGACCTTGAACTCCTGAGCTTCTCCCTGCCTCTACCTCCTCCCGGGATTACAGGCAGGCACCATCATACTCAGTCCTCCCGGGGATGGAACCCAGGGTTTACTGTATACTAGGTGAGGACTCTACCAATTGAGCTGCATCTCTAGCTCTTGAAGCCTTTTTCTTATCCATACATTCCAGTCTAGTACAGCAAGAACATCAGTTTTCCCTCCCAAACAGAACACATAGTGATCTACTTGTCTCCATCTCCAGTAACACTGCTCTAGTCCAAGTCACTTCTGTGTCTCATCACTGGGCCTTTTCACTTGTCTCCCTAAACCAATCATGCCCTGTGAAACCCATTCTCTATGCAGCATCCAGAGTACACTTTTAGAAATCTACATAACGTCCTATTCTAAAAGAAACACTTAGAATAAGGTTCATTCAAAGCACCACATTCTGAATTTCTGCTCAGGTCTCCAAACTTACTATGTAACAACCAAACTCCTTCCTGCCCCAAAGGTGTCTCTCTTCTTGGTAGGGAAGGTTCTGCTCGAAGGAAGGGCTTTCTTCACCTCACTGTTTTCTTGACATTTTTATGACAGTCTGAATGTGGCTGGCTCCCTTGGAGAAATCTGCCCGTCTAGCCAACCTGTGACAGTTCCTCCTGCAGTTGGTCCCTAGGTCATATGATACTGTGTACTGTTTCAGCTGCCTTCACATCACATTGAGTTATCAAAGGTCTCTCTTTCTATCCATTCATTTATTATCTATACCTCACTCTGCCTGTCTTGTTTACCACTCTATCCCCAAGTCTAGCATACTCTAAGAGAACAGTAGGCATTTAATAAACATTCATTGAATGAAAAAAACAGACAAATAGAAGGTTGTGTTACCTGATTCCAAGTCCAAATCTCGTCAAATAACAGCATGATTTTTTTTTGTGTCTTACGACAACTCTAAACGTTAGCCCAGTCCTCCTTGGACAAAAGTCTGTCACCTCCTGGAATTGTCCCATACACAATTGTAGCATGTTTTTTGTCTACCTTCCTAGCCTCAAGTCTGACTTTTCCTGTGGTCCTATACTCCTTACATACCAGCAACACTAAACTAAGGTACTACTAAGCCAGTTTCAGTAATTATCTGTATGATGATCATGATAGATTCAGGCATATCATGCTTTACAAATGCTGCTCCTTCTACCACTGGCCTGTGTTCCTAGGACAAGTTCCTATTCAGCCTTTAGAACCCTTTGCAAATCAGATCCATCTATGGTTCCTTCCCTGTGCATTTTCGGTGGAGTTAATCACTCACTGTCCATTACTACACTCATAACTCGTCCAAACACTGGAATGTGTTTTCAAGGCTGGGATTCTGAGGTCCACAGTATCTTTATGTTCCTAGAACTTAGCTCAGCACCAAGCATGTAACAGGGAATTAACAAAGTATTGGCAAATGGAGTGTACGGTAAGCCTAAGCCCTCCTGCAAGCTATGAGGACAATAACCACATGATTCATGCTCGCTCCCCCCCAGAATGAAGTCTTCTGTATTCCAAGCTAAACCTATAAACTAGGACATAATGATGAGTAAAACATACTTACAAAGCAAAGCTAATGATGTAAGAGAGAAACACATGGATGTCAGTAAATATGTACACAGTAATTACCTCACAGACATCTCCATGTACTAGGACTATGCCAACTTCTAATTTTCCCCTATGGTCTGGTCAGTTTTTCCTAAGATATTTAATTTGTTTTTCCAAACTCAGATCCAGTCCTTTAACAAATCCCTCATTCTAACGTTCCTACTTCTATCTGTTGTTAATGTGGGGCTGTTAACATTTGGAGTCATCTTCAGTTTCTAATTTATGCACCTACAAATCTTGCCAACTCTCTTCTTGTGCTTCCTCACCTGTTGGTTCCTTCTCTAGGTCCTTATCCTATAGTCCAGGCACTTTGCCCCACAACGAATGGATTATACCCAGCTGAACATCTATAGTCAATGTTTCCTTCATTCTAGGTCACTCCAAGTGAAGTGAAGACTGTCTCTCTTTAATTACCATCTCCGGCAAGCCATTCCCTCAGCACTCAGAGAATCACGGAATGATCCTCCTGTTATGATTTAACTGGATCCTTCAAAATTCCCATGTTGAAACCTAACCACCAAAATGACAATTTCAGAGCCAACTCAGATATGAATAAGGCATAAGGGTATAATCCTGAGTGAAATTAGTGTCCTTCTTAAAGTAGAACCGAAGGCAGGTGTCACACACTGCTGTTCGAAAACGCCATGAAGGAGGAAACTGACCTCCACATGTCACCAAATTGATCCTGGACTTCACAGCCTTCAAAATTTTGTGAAATAAAATTTTTGCTCTTTATAAGTCATTCACTTCTAAGGGTTTGGTTTTGGTTTTGGTGTCTGTTACAAGTTCTGACGAATGAAGATAGTTTGTATGGATAAATGGTTTAAAACATAAGGCGCTTAACACAGAGTCCAAACACAACCAAGCACTCAGGAAACACTTGGCTCATTCTTATGATCAGTACAGAAGTGGGGATCATTTTCTTTGACCTGTTGTTTTGCCATCATGTTCCTCCCAGATATGCTACTCACAGGGTTAGAATGCAGCACGGTGAAGAACTCTGGGCTGATGAGGAACTTCACGGGGGGTGACTGTAACAGCAGTGTGAGCCTGGATCTGGAGGTAGAGTGGGGCAGGACATTCTCCCGTCGAAAATCTAGACAGAGAGACCACAAAGGGTTTCAGGAAAGGTTTACTCACTTCCATCTTTGTTTAATACAAACAGTAGTTATATCATTTGCTACAATTTCAATCCTCTAAACTATGTTATTTCTTTGATATAAATGGATGCACAAAACTCAACTGTTCTTAAAATGACATTGGATAACATTTCTAGTTATTTTACTATATTGCATCCTTAGCTTTTTTTTTCCATTATCACACAGATTCAGGGACTTTGGTAATTTGTAATCTATTTGATTTTATCCTATTTTTCTTAGTACTACTGAAAGATCAAGGGTTAGAAGAGATTTCTGGTGGATTTTTATTTCTAGAGTTAGTTTATCAGATGTTATGGAAGTGCAAGCATTTTCCCAAAGAAAAGCTCATTTCTTGGAAATCCTTGCTGGTTTCTTTTCTATATTTATGAGATACTGGCCCACCACGACTCTTACCTGCGCTGGCATGGTGGAAGTCGGCCTCCTCCCCGGACCCATCAATAGCACTGGTATTTTCCTCCGGCCTCTCATTAGTCATGGTCCTACGGATGCTCTGATAACTAAAACCATGCGCCTTGGTTACATTCCAGTTGCCTGGAGCTGCCCCAGTGCCCGGCCAGAAGTTTCAGTCCTCTCAGCCTCAGTTGTTTTCCCCCAGCCCCATCCCTGACCCATGCACCTTCTGTAACATAAGTAAATGACAGTGCATTGAATTCCGACCCTCCATTGTTTATGGAACATTTTCCTGACAAATTAATGAAACTTAAAAAAACAAAGACCTGTTTCCCTTAACCAAAGAAAACTACATTCCCATAATGATAATGGAAAGAACAAGTGTATGTCCTGCAGCAATTAGTTTTTTTGAAAAAGAATGACTGGTCTGAGAAGGTTAGGTTGATAATAAAGATGGACCAAAAGGGAAGATTCTGGAAGTTATGTTTGACTTCAAATCATAAATGTGTATGCTTGCTTTCATAGAAACCAATTCCTTTGGTTGACTGTATGAGTCTTCATAATTTATTTCCTCTGTAATTTCCCAACATGCAGGTATGCATGCTCGTGTATGCTTTGTTGAATTCTGTCCCCAAGGAAAGGCCAATAAAGTGACAGCTACACCTCACTGACAGGGCACAGAAGATGAAAGAGAGCCAAGTCTTCTATTTCATGCCATGTAAAAGCCCAACCACAACACAGAGCAGTACCAGCATAATGCCCGTAATGCCCGTGCTCACCGCCGGTTCAGTTGCTCCATCTGCTGTATAGAGTTCGATCTCTGCAGCACCTGTGGGGCTGGGGGAGCTGTCGGCCGCTGCCACGTCGTGGTTCTGTTTACGTGATCCACATAGAAGATCCTGCCATGGCTGTCAATGCGTGCCTCCCAGTCTAAACAGCAGGAAGGCACCGAGAGGGATAAGGAGGAGGAGCTGGGGCCAGTAAGGTGGTTCATTAAGTTCAGCACAAGTTTTTTCTCTCTCACATGCTATAATTTGTGGCTAATAACACACACTTCACTGTGTAGTACGGCATGCCTCCCCAGTTCACTTAAGAAACACTTGTTACTAGTTATTAAGCCTCTCCTTCATGAATGATACCAAACTCAAAAAATTTCTAAATGAAAAGATCTTTTCAAGTCTGCACAAAATCTTCACTCTGTGTATGAGCACTAGGAGTAGGAAAGGGAAAGGGAGACAAAGGGGAGGTCTGAGGTGGATAAATATGGTCAACGCACATGATATACTTGAATGAAAATATTTGTATGAATCCCATCACTACGTACAATGACACCAATTAAAAGAAATGCCAAACTATGTATAGTTGATATCATAACACGTGTGATAGTTTCACACCAAAATTAGTATTCATTACTATTTTTAATAATTACTATTTGATCTCTCTCCTTCCCTTTCTCTCCTCTCTCTCTCCTCTCTGTCCTTTTCTCCTCTCTCCCTCTCCCTTTTCCTCTCTCATAACTTAGATGGAAACTTCCATGTGTGTATTGACACACAATTGTGGTAAATTCAGTTTTTGGAAGGAAAGTAGCTCATTAGTGCTACTGTAGTGATCAGACAATGTCATTATTTACATACTTCGGTTTGCCGTTTCCCAACAATGAACATATTTTCAAGGCAAGGACAATTTCTTTCTTCCAACCTCAAATAAATATGAGGTTTTTCAAAAGATTATTTACTTGTATTCTGAGAAGTAAGTGTGTTCATTTCTGTAAACCAATGTGTAAATGCAGATTTGTCTTTGGAGCTAGGTACCTCATGTATGTGTCTAGAAGGTCATCCCCTATTCAGATTGACAGAGCATGAGCTGATCTTTTCAGTAGACAATTGTCAGAATTCATTGCAGTTGGGCAGAAAACGTTCGACAGGAAACCTGAAGCCAGCAGAGATCCAGTCTTTCCTTAGGAAAAATTCTTGTAAATGTATATTTCCATGTAAATTATATTTAAAATTAACAAGTACTTTTCTCCTGAGATGTTTAAATAGCTCAAAATTCTCCATTTAATCACCTAACCACCAGTAGACTCCCTGAACTAATCCTGGAGGCCCCCAGGAAAGCATAAGTTCTGACTACCTGTGGTATTCTCACTGGAAGCGAATGGAACAAATATTCCAACAAAGTCCTTAGGGTCACAAAGACCTGCTCCGAGACCACAGCTGGCACTAGGCCAGCAATGAAGCCATCATGTCAGCTGGGAGTAGAGAGGCATCTTAGATTGGCCTCAGCACATTGCTACTTATGACAACTGTCAAGAGAAAAAAACTGGGCTGAGAAAAAGCATCACACAGAGAACAAATCTCAACTTAATGGCACTCGTGTTCCAAGGTGAGACAGACACAATGAACCCTTCCTGTAAGTCTGAACTCTTTGGGCACAGCTACAATCCCATCAACAGGACATTTCCAAAAGACCTCAGGCTCAGTTGTGCTACACTGACAAAGAGCATGTTCGGAAACCATTTTCCAAAACCCTTTAATCTGCTCCATTTTAAGAACCAATTACTACATCTCATTCCTGCCTAATTAAAGTCAGGAAAATGTAAGCACTGGCAGCATGTGAAGCCAAATGCACATGAACACAAGTGGCCATTCTTTTCCCCCAAGAATGTTTATAGTAGCTTTCAATTTTTAAAAACAAAGAATAGGTCAATTAGAAATTAAAATACAACAGAGACCAGTTAAAGGAAGCAGAAAGAAATGCTGCCAAGCTTCCAAGATAAGGTTATTACTAAAAAATTGACTCTAAGTTTCTGGCAGTTAAAGCAGAAAGAAAACACATTGTTGCATATTTCCCACTTCCTGACAAAAGAAAGCTTTGAAAGACCCAGAGCCTTCAAAGACGGACAGAATTGTTTCCTTGGAACTCATTAAATAAAGATTTACCTAATGAGATGTGTATGTGGCCTGTTTAACAGCTACATGGGTAGTAAAATGGGGGCGTTGGGGAGGATCCCCAAAATGCAATCACCACTGTGCCTTGCACATGCTGTATAATAAGAGAACAAATTATTTTAGATGATATAATTGCATAAACTCATGATCTTTTTGGTTACCTTCTACAAAGATCAGCAATAACATTAATTTGTCAATCATTAAAGACATCTTTATGTGCAGTAGGGAGAATAAAAACCAGGAACAAAACTTTGCTTTCTAAGACGGCAGGATATTGAATGCACATTGAAGACTAACCTTATCAAACAGCACACCTTCAAACAGGCATTCTTGCCTAATTCTATGGGAAATTCTATGGTGCTGACCTCAAGTAGATGTTTGGCAGTGGGTGGGGAAAGACTGCTATGCTGTTTGTTGGCTAATCAGCAAACTCCACATTATTCGTGCTCAAGTCAACACCCTTCCATTCAGGCAAAGGCAGCAGAACATCTTGGAAGATGGTTCACCCTTTGCTGCCACAGTTACTTTGAAAGATACAACAACCTCTTGGATGTTTTTCTACTGGACATGGTCTGTTTTTTGTATAAGAATGCATGTGAGGACTCAGTCTACAGTGCCATTTTCCAGACGGACACTGTTAAACATGGACAGAGTTAGAAGGCTGAATCTGCACCCTTACTTTCTTGACTTAACATAAAGTGAACAATCTGGATAAAGGAGACTGAGAACAATGTACTGAGGTGGGGGTTTGGGTGCAGTGCAGGAAATTGGAAGGCAGAAAGTCTGTTTTCTGGTCATAGTCTATACCACTTCTTCTATAAGACCCTTAAAAAGTCATACCTCTCTACAGATCAATCACAATTTTGGAAAATTAGAGGACAGAATGAAACATTTTTAAGCCTTCTATTATTTCTGAAAGTCTATGAGCCTCTAAAATAATGCCCAAGTGTTACATTAGTGTCAGGAAGGACCTAGCAACATCTTAGTATCATCTTATCTGTCTTACGCACAGGCTGCAGGGTCCAAACTCAACTCAGATTATTTAAGTCTTACAGTGAGGGGTTTTGGAGCCCTGAGGGATAGGAATCTGGAACCACTCACTAACTCACCTTAGCCACAGCAGCTCCAAATGATCGGGTATTGTACATTAGTGTTCCACGTAAGACCTCATTTGCATAAGGAACTTCATGGTGATAATTAAGTCTATTTCCTGGAGCTGTTTCTCAAGGCATGGTGGGACTCTAACAAGATGTGCCAGAATTGTTAAGGATTTAAATCAAAATGTAGATTCCTCAGACACACCTAGGTCTTAAGATTCTAACTCTGAATCCAGGACTCAGCTATCTCCAATTCTACATACCTTCTCAGATGATTCCTCATTATACTAAAATATGAAAAACACTGCCATAAATTAATGAGAGCTCAAAACAACAGCTAATTTGTCAAACAAACCCATGGAGCAAATGGCAGATTTCTTAGAGGTTATAGTGTGGGTTCATAAGAAACTAAGCTTTTTCGCAAGTGCCAAAACTGGAATCCAGGTTCTTGGATATCCTGAGATGTAAATACAAGACTAATGGTGACACTATTTCAAGGTCACTGTCACAGCACTGGTCCCCTAGTATGGTACAAAGGCATGAAGGTCTTAAACATTTTTAGATTTTAGAATCGGTATAATGGGGAAGGGGGCAGGGCAGGACAGACCTATAATCTTGCTGCTCATCTTATTAACTCTTCTTTCCCACTCCCTAGACCTTGGTCTCCCCTGACCACACAGTTGGTGATGGATGAGATGCTGACACTGAGAAGAATGTCAGGGATGAAGCAAAGTGAGTGACACATCATGAGTGGCCAGCACCGGATGACACACAAGGGACAGAAGAGACTGTGAGCAGGGGCTTGATTAGGTTGTGATGACTGAGGTAAACCCATTCCTGAATGCTGTGAAGCAAATTTACAACTCACTATAAAATTATAATAACTATGGTAATTTCACCCAAATGGAAAGATGGTGAAGTCATGTATATGAACCAGAAGTACTTTCAAGGAAAAGTGCAAGCTTTCTGATGGACAACAGATATCAGCCTTTAAGAGATTTTTGTGCAATTTGTATATAAAGTTCAAAATCGTGTAATTTGGGAGTCAGTATGATAGGAGTGGTGGGTAGTCGGTGTTAGTGGACATGAAGGGAATTTCTAAGGTTATGGTTGCATAGGGGTACAGTTAAAAAATTCAGTAGGGGGCTTTTTACCAACTTGGGCTATTTGGCAGAGTGATTAAGACCACACTCCACAGTGGGCTATATCACCTAGTATGGTTCATTACTATTGTGTGGCCTATGCTGATTAAAAAAATTCAGTATGGGGCTGATTAAGAACACTGAATATTCTTGCAGAAGACACTTTGGCAGAAAGAAGTAGCATGGAACAATTCCATACCTCCTCCCCGTGCAGAGATGGGCTAAGTCACAATTACCTTAGAGTCAAAAGAGAAAAAAATAAAGTCATTTTTCAGAGGGGCCAGGTTGGCCATTCCTTCTATCCTTTTATCATTATGCTAAAAAGAACACGAGGTCATGTGGTGATGTTCTGGTTGGCTTCAGTCCTGAAGTGCCTCCAGCTGCCAACACCACTGATAACTTCAGAATGACAAGGTGCAGTACATTTTTAAGGGGTGGTGCATACTCAAGTCCAGGCTACTTTTCTGACTATCATGTTTCCTCTAAGGCCTGGAGCTTTCTTATTTTCTATGATCATTAGAGCATCTCTCAACCAATGGTTGAAGGCATGGGGCCCTCAAGGTCACACATAGACAGTGCTCCTGGCCTAAAGCAAGAATAAGATCTTGAGAATCAATTGGTGGATCATTATCATAGCTAGGCAGTGAACACTAAATTCAAGTCTGTTCCCTGATCCAGAGATAGTACAGGGACTAGCAGGAGTGCCAACATCTGCTTTAAATAGAGTGATTCAAACAGATATTTAGCAACTAAGAATTACCAGGCCATGTAGACTACTATCTAAGAGGCATTGAATGGACTTAGTGAGGCACACCGAGACCCCACTGGGATTTTAAATCTTTGAAGAGAAGCCTAAGTTTGCTAGTTAATTTTTCTTACTATATGTTAGTACACAAATATTTTAAAAGGTGAAAATAATCTAAAAGAACAATAACAAAATGGCAAAGGGAAAAAAAACAAGTTTGGGATGCATCCAAACTCAAAGTGCACTGCTTCAGCATCTTGTCCTTTATGTGTAGGGACAGTGACCTGCACAGAGCAGAAAAGGTGCTGCTCAGTCAGACACAGATACCAAACATACAGTATCTATCTGGGCTGCTTAACGGTGGTTCACACAGTTGCTGTGACACTCTCATAAGAGAGAGGCTTCTCCAAGGCAGGGTTCTGCTGCATAAACTCACCCCACAAACAGAAAAGTGAGCCTCTCTGGTCTGACCTCAAAGTTTCAGCAAAACTCCCAAACTTTCTGATGTTGGAAAGATGAGATGCACATGGGATTGGGGACAAGACTGAACAGGAATCAGGATGATTGGACCCCAGCCAACTCCTGGTCATATAAATCCTCAAACTAACAAGCTGATTGTTATTACAGTGTGTGTCTTCATTTTTAGAGAGAAACATCTCCATATTTGAGTTCTTTAAATGTAAAAAAAAAAGATTTCTTTATATTTTACAAACAATGTCATTTTCTAAGGGTTAATTAAGTTAGGATAGAGATGTGTTTCCAAGCAGGCATCCTATTAAAAATTTAGAGGGGGGCAAGCATTTATGGTATCAAATTGCCCCATCATTGCCTACAAGCAGCACCTACAAACATCTCTATGATGGAAGTGAGCCCATGAACTCCAAATGTCCACTATGGGGTGACACCTACCAGTACCACTGAAAACCACTGAACAGGAGCATGTCTTAAGAGTCTTCCTTCTGTATGCTAGTCATTCATTGAACATGACATACCACTAAACCACTTTTAGTCCTGGGTGTATCATCTTATTAAAATGAATTGTTGGCTGTTTGCAAAATAAATTCTCAAGATTAATTTTCTCTCTCTCATTCTATTATCAATGTTTAAACAAGTACATTGCAATATCACTAATAGGTGTCCTCATTTCAGCAAGAAAGGACCCATCTTTCTTGAGCATAATCTATAGATCAAAATTATGTCCAACTAACATTAATGCAATGGAATGTGAGTAAGAGGATTCCAGTTATCAAGGCAAGGCTATGTCTCCTCATCCAGCTCCCAGAAACTGCAATTACTATCGATCTACATATACACAAATGCAAAGGTCTCCCAGAAGTCTCTCCTGGTGTTCCCAATTCATCATGTTCTAATTATACCTAAATATCTTCCAAGAATATTCCTCTTTGCTAACTCTATCTTCTCCTAGAGGGTAAACAATAGGGAGGTCTGTCTTGGTTGCTTCAATCGCCTACTTTAGATGACAGAGGGATAATTAATCTCTTCACTTATTAAAAACCTGCTTAAAATATCCATTTTGTATCAGTACTAGCCCTCAGTTATTCAAATGCACAACCAAGGGAGGGATCTGTACACAAAAGAATTTCAGAAGTATCAAGTTACAGTGGTAGTTCAGCTCTTTTGTCAGCTCCCACCAAATCTCACTACTCAGTATTCCAGGCCTAGGAAAGTCTGCCTGCCTCTCTTTACATCTCATCTCTTAAAAAATACACAAAGATCTCAGACTGTTTCCATAGTCACTTATGAGATAGGTATGAGAAGAGGGTAGGTAAGAAGGGAAAGCAGCAAACCCAGAGGCACCCCTTCTGCAAACACTGTCTACTGAGCTGTGTGACCAGACATCAGAATGCCTTGCTCCCATAGCACATTACCTTAAGGGCTTCTAGAAATTTAAAAGGACTTCACACATTTCTGGATGATGAGTGGCACGAGCACCACTTACATAGGCTCTGAACCACCTCCCACTGTCCCTAATCCTCAGCCATCTTTTAAAAGTGCTAAATGTGTCCTGAAAGTTAAAGTAATGAAATATCTTTCAAATTCTTAAATAATGGTTTTATCCCTCAAAAACAGAAACTAAAACAAAAACAAACCAGTAGGCTAATTCTGAAACTAGTAATACTTCATACTGCTAAGGAAAAAAAATCAGAACCTTGTGCTTAATGATTTAAAATAATGGAAGCAGGGTGGGAGGAGGGCTGGAGTGATGGATCAGCAGTTAAGAGCACTGACTGCTCTTGCAGATGACCCAGGTTCGATTCCCAGCACCCACAACTGGCAGATAACAGCTGTCGGTAACTCCGTTAACTCCAGTTCCAGGGGAATTTGATGCCTTCTTCTGACCTGTGTACTTACACACATGTAGGCAATACACTCATACATATAAAATTAAAAAAAATATATAAATAAATAAAATGAATAAAGGGAAGAAAGCCAGTCCATTGCTGGGTGAGGATTTTCTAAGAGATTGCACCAATTTGCCTACTTATTGAATGACGTCATGTTGCTCTTAAGCATAATTAAAAAAAAAAATCTCCTATGCATATAATACCTAAAATATCTAGATCTACTTCCATGATTTACTTTAGGGTCAGATCAATGTTTGCTCTTCTCCAGCTACTCTTTCACCCAGAACAGTGCCAGAGAGGAGCGATGGTGCAGAGCTTTCCAGATTACAGCTACTTGGTCAAGTGGCAGCCCCCAGGCACATTCCTTTCCAGGACCCATGGAATGAGTCTGCCTGTCACCATTGCACACTGTGACTAAAGTAAGCCATTAGATAACAGCTGCTCACTTGGTGGCAAAGCCTCGTCCACCCTCTGGTACCGGCTGACATCCTGGCGAACTGAAGGTAGTGACCGCAAGGGCTGGTGGCCATTGTTTTGAGAACCTAGGATTAAAGGTAAAAGTTACCAAGATACTTCTCTGCCTTTTGTGTCAAAACAGGTAAATATCTATCTCTCTCTTTCTCTATATATATAATATATTAACAAAAACCACAACACACACACACACACACACACACACACACACACACACGTACCTAAGCCAAATATAGTGCCCTATGTCTGTAAGCCTAGGACTCAGGAAGGTGAGGCAGGAAGATAGAGAGTCCAGGCTAGCCTGGGCTACATAGCAAGACCCTAATTCAATAAAATGTAAATAAGCAAACAAAAAACTTAAACATTAATCCCAGGCTGGTCTCTTGGCTCTATTTTGTCTAATTTCCCATGTAGAAGTGAGGGCTCAGGAGAGGTATCCATAGAGAAACAGCCCTTGCATGCAGCCCCCTTGCCCCTCCTCCCTACATACCCTGCCTCTGACCTGTTCATGAACTAATGCTTTAGGGGCCTGAGCAGCCACACTATAATTAGGAGAGCAAAAGCAAAATGGGAGGCAGAGGAAAAGAAGGGGATAATTTAGGTAGAAAAATAGGTTTCATGATACGAAAGTCATTGCTGGGGCTGGGAATATACTTCAGTCATAAAGTACTTCCCTAGGTTCAATCTACTCCAAAGAGAAAAAGCAATTCCTATTTAACTCTGTGATATTTAGGAATTTGAAACTTCCCTTTGACTGTTTAATACCTCTTATAGAATAGTTTAAAGAAATCATTATAGAGGGGCTGGAGATATGGCTCAGCAGTTAAGAGTACTGACTGCTCTTGTAGAGGACCCAGGTTTGACTTCTAGCACCCACATGGTGACTAACAGCCACCAGTAACTCCAGTTCTAGGGGATCCAATGCCCTCTTCCTACCTCTTCAGGTATTACACACTATAGGTGCACATACCTACATTCAGGTCCCTCTTCCTCCTCCTCACCCCCTCTTCTTCCTCCTCCCCCTCCTCTTCCTCCTCTTTTTCTTCTACTTTTCCCCCCTTTTCCTTCCTTATTCTTCTTGTATCAGAATATCCCCTAACCCAGTTGACATTTCTTGTACTCCAGAAGACAAGCGTTGATGCAAAGCTCATATTAACCTGCTCTGAAGCTTAATGAAGGGTGAATGACTTAAGGTGATCCTGATACCCTCTAAAGTCTATACCACAGTAGTGGCTGGTTTTATATCTTAAGTTTGAAGGCTGTTGTTTGCCAGGCCTCTTATGTCTGCAACAGATGATTCATTCAAAAAGAAGACTGGATTTGAAGTGAGGCCCAGATATACACAAATTACATCATCCTCCCAGTTATGTGAATGACTAAGTCCCTCAGGCGCTCCAGATCTGGCCTGGGAGGCCTGATCCAAAAGGGCTATGGGTGTCCACATATTTACTTATTACCTGCTTCTATTTCTTGTCCTTCTTAAACCTCCTTTTGCTAACTGATGAACCCCCAGGTGAGGAATTCACCTACATATTCACCTATCCACTTATACATGCGACCTGAATTACAGTGTACATGGAGGGGAAATCTACAACACTTCTCTTTGAGCAGCTGTGCTTGAGCCAGGAGCCAAGCTGACTTCTAGGTCCTACCTCCAGTAGCGCCCTCCTCCTGGGCAGTGGCCCCTTCGCAGGCACCTTGGGCATCCCCAGCATCACCATCTTCTTGAGTCTGGCTCTCCACTGCAGCAGCAGCATCAGGAGGAGGAGTAGCAGCAGCTCCCTCTAGACTTCCCCTTCTCTGCCAGACTGTCCCCAGATCCTCCTGCTCTGGTAAAGCAGCCCCTTCGGCCCCAGGTCCTTCCTCCTCCCTACCAGGCACCTGTACCACAGGTAAAGAACCCGGAGTGCAGATGGAATCCTGTGACCCCTCCACAGGGCTGCTGTTGGGCTCAGCTGCACAGGCCCCATCTTCCTCGTCCTGAGAAGAAAAGGCTGGGGTTTCTGGAAACCGGGCACTCTCAAGAGATGAGCACCGTGTCTCCACCGAGGACAGTTGTGTGGTCACGCTCTCATTGCAGGAGCTGTCGGCTCCTTCCAGGTCACTCTCTCCCTCAGGCCTGGTGCTGGCCTCACTCACACTCTCTGTCCTGGCTGGGTCGCTTGGTTCTGTTTCAGAGGACACCTGGGAAGGCTCAGACCCCTGGTCCAGGGACTCCGTTTCACTGGCAGCTCTGCGGCTCCCTCCCGATGTGTCAGAAGTCCCCGTGTCCGCACTACTTACAGGTTGATCTACCTCTTGCGAGCCACACAATTCAGCACTGCCCTGGTCAGTACTGGGTTGAGGTTCAGGGCCAGTTTCATTTTCATCAGGGACTGTGTCAGAGGGCAAGGAGCCATCTGCCAGCTCTGGAAGATTCTTGGGCCTCTCATCCAAGGATGCAGCTTCATGTACAGAGGCATCCTCAGTCTCAACTGGGTTGTCATCCTCTGGCTTTGTCTGAGATGTCAGGCTCCCATCATCAGTTCTTGATGTCCCCCCAAACATGATCAACCCTCCTTCCTCCTCCAAGGAAGATGGATAACCTAAGTCTTGCTGGAACTCATGGTCTTCTTCATCAGAGTCAATATGAAGCATTGCATTGAGTCTTGTGTCAGTGGGAAAACTACTCCTCAGTTTGGGAGAGGCTCCCACGGACCTCTCAGAGGAGGTTGTTGCCATAGGCCTGGAGGGGCCATTGTGTTCAATAGCATCCAAGTAATCATTGAGTGAATCTTGGCGGCCTCTGGGAGGTGAGGTCCTTGAGGAAGTAGAGATCAAGTCCTCTGTGTCTATTTCCAGAGTAGAGCTAGTCCTGAAAGAATGCTTGGGGGTCCCATCTGCAGCACTGTCCTCAGACACTGGCCCATTAGCACAAACTGTGCTGTCATGATGGCTCCCTGGCATGTCCTCATCATCAGAAGGGCTGCCTAGGTCTCCGTTCACAGTGTTGACTCCAAGAATGGTGCCAACAGCTTCTGGAGATGCATCTGAGTGAGAAAGCAGCATTTGTAAATGTGATACAGAACAGTAAAGGAACATGTAAATATCTGCCTTGAAACTAAATGGTTGGATGAGTTCAGTCATCCTACAGAAGGCTCTGGACAAGCAGTCAATCAATCACTGACCTGCTAAGATACACTACTTCCTACTAACCAAATGTCTTGTGGAAAGCTTGGTGTGTGAGGTATAGATGTTACCTACTGCTGGAAATTCTGCAGCCCATTTTCACAATGCAAGTGTAAATCTTGGAATGACTTCTGTTACACAGACTTTTCTAAATACTTTGGAAACTGAGAGGCAATCATTGGAAAGCTAGTTCATTTTCAGAACTGGACAAAATACAACCCTGTTGTAAACTATCAGTTGAGTAACATTTAATACATGTTTATGTATGTATAGAAACACCTCACCTTCATGAATGGAAGACGTGACTTCTACTTTAAACTGGAGGTAGCCACTCACATGGTCAGCTGGGAGCCTTCTGCCAAGGTTGTAGCTGAGCATTTGGTCACTGCAGGAGGAGAAATGGTCCTTCATCCTTATTGAACTGCTGTTAGCCTTCACCTTCCTCCCACAGGCCACCCCCAAGCCCTACTAATTGCCATTAGAACTTTCAGGTTCAGAAGTAAAAAAAAATACAGGCTCCGGCACATTGGTCCCAGTTTATTCTTATTCACTTGCACAAGTAAACACTTACAAACCCAGGGATAAAAGGGAATCTTGCTATAAGGAACATCATTAGGAGAGAGCACCATGAGAGCCTAAGGCCAGGCCACACCCAGGAGCCCTGACTGTACGAGTGGAGGGGTTGCTGACCTCACCTTCCCCACCTCCAAAGGGAGGAGGGGGAGCTGTTGGCCCTCATTCTTGGGAAATATGGTTTACTGCCAAGTCAGCTGCTGATGAGTTGCTGTGCAGTGAGGGAGGGTATCAGATCCCATATGTGGTACTAGAGGAGAACCACACTAGACCATTCATTCTTTGCTCTGCCTTGGTGCTAGGCTCAGACTGTCAGCTTCCTTTAAGGATGGGGTCGCCATCTGTTTGAAGTCCATGTCTATTTTCAAGAGTCAAATGCAAGCCATTCCTATTCTGAGTCAAAGGATTTACTTCTGATTTAGGAAGATAATCTGTTCTCACACTGCCCTCTAATGGCTATTTCAGAAACTGCCTGCACCTAACATTGTACCACTGTACAGTGTAGAGCCTCTAGTTAGCTTTTTAGCATTAATCTACATAACTATTTCTATTCTTTTCGATCTCCTCAGTACAATACTAAGTAGGTATTATCAGTTTAAAAGGACACATACTACAATCTACTAAAACTGTAGTTCACCAATTAAAGAAGTTCTTAGAAATTTCTTTTCCTTAGAGATGAAATTGTGATGATTTTTTTCTCATGATTGGTGCTTTTAAAATATTTTGCTTCAGGCTGGGTGTGGTGGTGCACATCTTTAATCCCAGCACTCAGGAGACAGAGGCAGGTGGATCTCTGTGAGATCCAGGCCAGCCTGGGTCTATATAGTAAGTTCCAGGTCAGCTGTGGCTACAGGGAGACCCTGTCTCAAAGACTCTTTTTTTTTTGCTACGCCTTATTATAATCACAAAAATGAATGATAACAGATTCTCACTAGCTACCTGAAGCATTCTTTCATTATTCTGAGAAACTGATGAAGCTTGGGTCATGACAAATCTTTGCAAAGGAAGCAGGCCATCATGAAAATGTCACGTTTAAACAAATGCTCTCAAAATAGGTTATTGGGAAGTTGTAGCTCATCCCATAAAACCACACCCTATAAAATTTCAACTATTTCATATAGCTGCAGTTCACCAAATGCACCAAAGTGAGCACTTTTCAAGATGTGTCAATTGCTTGATAGGAAGCAATAATCAAATCAGAAATATGCATTTATAGGCTTACAGGTGATATGCCAATGTAGTATAATGGCAATGTTTTTAACATACTCACAGAGAAACAGCTCCTAATTCTGATACTCTATGAATCCTGGTTGGACTTTACCTACACATGAAGCTGGGACTGGTCCTGCTGTGTGTGCTCAGCTCCTTAAAAGACTGGCTCAAAGGCCAGAGAGTTCATGACACTTTGGGTCAATGACAGATTTTATTTTTCTTTGATCATTCTTGCTGTCAGTACACAAAATTGACACATCCATCAAGTGTCACACATATTACACAAGTTATATGATTACAATTAATATAAATTACATGAAAATATATTGCTTTTATTAGAATTAATATTACTATGTTTTACTTCCTATAAATGCTAAAAATAATCTTGAAAGCTCTAAAAAAAAACTACTAGAACCTATAATTATCATCCTTAAAACCAATTGTGATTTCCCAGCTTTTATCAGATAAATCAGGCTCCCAGAATTTTGTATGACCTCCCTACTTCCTGTGGGCTGTCCAACACAAAATCCATAACCTGACAGAATTAGAATCCACTGGAATCTCTGAATTTTGGGTGTGAAGAGGCCATAGAGATTATGTGGTCTGAACATTTTTTCCCACCATGAGGAAACTAAAACCCAAGAAAACTGTGATTTGCAAAACTAAACTGAAAATTAGCTACAAAGGGAATATGAAGGATCAACTTTCTGCAAGTAACTGTTATGACCAGTATTCTCAAGATGTTTCAGAGAATGTAGGGCCCTATGGTAGAGGGATCTGAGCTCAAATTCCTGCTCCACCACTGGATTGCTGGCCTCAGATTGCTCATCTCTAAAATGGGTATCATCACATCTGTACCTCTTGGTGTTGCTGAGGCTACAGGGGTCAATCAGTATAATATACTTAGCTCCTTACAGAGTGAGAACCTAGCATCTCAACTGATGATATGCACTACCACTGTAGGATGACATTCATACTACTGTTGCTGCTCCCACCACCACATAATCAAAAGATTCTCCAACAGTGAAAAAAGATATACAAGATGCCCTCGTGGTACTTATTGCATAAAAATACATATGAAATAACAATGGATAAGGATTGTTATTTCTTAGCTATCACAACTTACAGAATGAAGCTCACAGGAATGAAAAATTAAAACTAAACCATCAAACAAAGTTGTTTTGGTTTTTTAGGACTAAAAATAGTCTCTGTGGATAGGATTAATCAAGCAAAGGTAAATGTGGGCAGAATGACATTCAGGGTATATAGCAAAATTTCAGTTTGCCCCCAAACCAATGGAACATTAAGAGATTTGACACTGATTGCTAATGCACGTGCTTCTTGGAAAAGAGACTGATAACCACAAAAAGTATATAACTAAAACAAGGTACTTTTGGTCCAAAACACTTTATTGAGCATAAGGGTACTTTTTAAACAATTGTTACCACTTCTTATCAGCCAGCAAGAAAATCCCTAAGACTGCCAAGTATCATTTCAGCTGCCTCTGTACAAACTTATCTCAAGATCCCTCAAAGGGAGGGCTGGTTACCCGATGGCTTGCCGCTCCAGCAGCCTCTGGACTGGAATGGTCAGTTTCCCCAGGAAGCGCTTGATGATAGGACGGCTCTTTGCAAATTTGTCTTTAATTTCAATTTCTAAGACATCAGTTAAAAGTGCAAAAAAGGAATATTTCTGAAAACAAAACATATATGTGTATTTAGAAGACAAATATAGTATTACTTTATATTACAGCAAATGATATCTCTTAAACTCTAATGATATGCAGAGTCCACAATGCTAGTATCAATCCTGTATGCACTCAGCACCATTAAAATTCACAATGATTAAAAAAATCTATTAAAAATCTGAATGACAACAGAAGTCTGTCAACCCAATCATACAACCCTTCTTGTTTTAACAGTTATAGGAGATATTATCAAATATTAAATCACATGCAATACAATTTTAGTAGTTACTACACGTATTGTATCTTAATTCTTGGATAGTTATTTCTTGTTACAGGATGACTTAAGATTAAATATATGATTAGTTACAATTTAAATTTTGAATCTCATGGAATTTTGAAGTTACAAACATACTATAGTTTAAAATATTTTTCCATTTCATGGGAGGAGGAACACTTGTGATTTTGTGATTTCTCTGATAAATATTAAAACAAAGCAGTGTTTGCCTGGAATTATTACTTAAGTTTAAAAGGCACATGAGGTCATTTATTTTGGGACAGAAAATGAAAAGTCTGAAGTTAAGAGAGGCTTAATTGTTTTTATTGAAGAATGTTATTAGCTGGGGAAGTAGGTCAAAGGTACAGTGCTTGCCTAGCTTGTGTGAGGTCCTGGATTCAACCTCCAGCATGGCCGAAAGAAAAAGAAATTAAAACTTGCACCAGGGATATAGCCAAGCGGTAGAATACTTGCCTTGCAAGCATGAGGCCTAGGGTCAATCCCCCCAGTACCATAGTAAAAACTTTTCAACAATTCCACTGGAGTGGGTGTTAATAAGAATGTGAAATAAATATAAAGAGCTTTGCTTATTTTAAATTTTAAAAAGATCAAATTTTCTTTTAAAAGCTGAAGATCTCAGAATAAGTAAATGATGGTGCAGGAAGTGAATGTAAATCATGGCACCCTTCTCTGGCAGCATTCCTGCAATTATAGTGATGCAAACAGGGCTAGGCTGTTTGACACTTAGGTGCCACCAGGTTCACTTAGTCATAATAATTTTTAAAAGAGGGGAATTTGGAAGTCTGCTTAATGGAAAAAAGCACTTACTTAAGATAGGAAAGCTGAATTTAAGTGCCTCTGCCCCTAAGCAGCTAGTCACAGAAATACTTGAAGCTGCTGTTTGCTGAGCACCAGAAGAGAAGCTCATCTCTAGGCTCCCTCAACATTGGTGACATGGTCAAGTACTTTGTAAATGTAAACCATTGGGTGGGCTGAGGGTACAGCTCAGTATAGAGTGCTTGGCTACCATGCGGGTAGCCCTGGCTTTGAGCTCAGTCACTGCAAAAAGACAGATAAATAAAAATAAATCAAAGGAACAGAAGGTTATTGCTTGTTATATCACCATATCTACTGTGTACTCTTAGAGCTTGTACTGAAATATATATATTTTTTTATTTTCTAGGCTTTGAAACATACAAGATGAAGAGGTATGACTTTAAGAATCATTTGCCACAATGAGATTATACTTTTTTAGACCAGGTGTAAGAACACAAGCAATAGACTTCCACTTAGATGAACACAGGAACTGTCCAGGGAACACACATATCTTTCTGAGCTGGTCAATCCCAAATATCTAGATCTTTGCTCCAATTAGTTTCATATCCCTCAAATTATATCTCTCCTCTCCAATTAAATATCTCTATAATGTTGTTAGAGCACACTTCCATCATTAAACATCAAGAGATGTCCTAACTAATTGTAGAATTCCCATGCTAGTGAAGATTCATCCAGAAACAGTCTAGCACTAGTAAGGGAAGCACCTTGGATCCCTGAGATACAGTGGGAAGACTCAGGCTCTGCTCACTCAGTGGAAAGCACTTCGTGTCTCTTTGTTTGCCTTTGAGTCCACATAGCTCTAAGGAGAAAGTCCTTTGATTGATTTTACTGAGTGGCACACTAAGGTGATAGGTATCATAATGCCGCTGTGAAGAGCTCTAAAATACCATCAACATAATCTGTCTTCACCCAGGATGGTGACTCTCTGAATGTCTCATCTAATACAAATCTGAAAATTCACAAAACATTTGCCAAAGATATACAAAAATAAATTCTTTTAATTTAGACTGAATATGTGCTAGACGCTTTCCAACAGAAGCACTGGACACCTCAGCTACCTTGACCATATCCATTAACAGCTCAAGGCTGCAACAAGTTCAGAAGGAAAAGATGAACTTGGCTGGTGTACGTTAAACAGAAGATCTCTGAGGCTTGTCTTACCTCTCTGTGCCAAATCGGATTAGTGGTGTTACTGATGATAGTAGACCTTCTCTCCTGCCCATGGTGGGCACAAGTAGGGAAACTGCTCTTCTTCCCTGGCTGAATGGACATCTTAAGATAAGGGTCAGGATTGAAGAACATCCCTTTCTTGAGCCCAACTGCCCTGAGATCTTTAAAGAAAGGAAGAGAGAAGGAGGAAGGGACAAAAAACAAGAGGGGGAGAGGAAAGGCAGTAGGGAGGGAAGAGACGGAAGGAAGAAGGAAGGATCCATGGATCCTGGTTAGATTAAGCAGCTCAGAGGTGAGTTGTTCTTAAATGATCACATAGGACACTCTAAACAGCAATAATTCAGTAACACAACAGCAGAGTTAATCATGTCATGGCTGTCTACTGTCTAGCTAGACAAGGACACATGGATATGGCAGTCATTCCAGCAGAGGGGTCTCTGAGATGGCAAATACAAAACCCTTCCCATCACCTTATACCCCTAAACCTGGGACCTTTTCATCCCATATACATGCCATCATGAGCTTTTTAAATAGTGCAATGTATTTGGTTAACCACAATGTTAGACAATAATCCTCAATAAACAGTTTAGGAAAACTAAGTTCTTTCATGAAAAAAACTCCCATATATAAAATGACATATACAGATATTATATATGTATATGTTTGAATTGTTTAATTTGAGGTGAAAATTTAAAACACATTCATTCATAATATATTTTAAATACATATATGTTTTATAATGTGATAAATATTTGGGGAGAAAATACATCAGAATGTGTCTAATATGTGAATATGATCTGCTATTTTACATAATTCTGTGGTTATTTTTCTGTAACTTGTAACTTGATAGTTGATAAATGTCATATAACTTACCTTACATTCACAAATCATTTTATACTACACGAACTGCTGAAAGTTTTAGCTGAAGTCTGTTTAGTGAGACTTATTTAATGATCAAACTAATTAAGTACACAAATGTCTAGAACCAAAGTGGGCTTAACTGGGCCCGCAATATCTTTCTGAGGATATCAGTTTGATTAATGTAGATCTAAGAGCTAAGACATCGTGAAAACTTGTGGGAGAGACTGCAAGTCATTTTATGTGGTTCAGATCAATATGGGGAAGATTGTGAATACTCTAGTCTAGAGAGCAATTCTGCACAAGGAGATCTTTGTTTTGACCAGATCAGTAGGGGAAGCGATACCGGTCATGGCCCTGAATTATGGAGGTAACTGGGCTCATCCTATGAAGCCCTTTTCTGAAACAGGAGGACACAAGTGACTGGAAATTTACATATTCTCCAGAGCATTCCCTCTGGAGGGGACTAACAAGGACTCCTGGCCCAAATACAATTGATGAAAACACACCAGGATTGTCTAATGCCACAGAGTCAGCAGTGGAAGGGGAAGGATTATAGATCAGTAAATATTGAGAGAGTCAACCAAGAGGACTTTATGTTAACAATGCATGGGATATAATGTGATTTCTAACCTAAAACCAATGGGAGAAAGAAGAGTAAGCTAAGAATGGGTCAGGCACCCAGGAAACTACTGTGATCTCATTATCCTTGTAGTTCTGATCTTGACACTTCATACACTATGCAGTCATTAAACACAGATTTGCATTTCACTATCCCTTCAATAACGCTGCATGTTCTCACTTTGTTTTATTTGACACAAAGTAGCTTTGAGAAGAAAAGGCAGCTGTACATTTATTTCCTTGCTTTTCTTTAGTGTTTGCCTGGGATTCAAGAATGATATCCTTTAGGCATTAAATCTACTTTGAAACAAGGGATTTCTTTGAAGTAAATGAAAAGCAGCATGGAAAGAAAGAGCTACTGCAGAAAGTCTAAAAAAACCTAATTCATTCACAGAAAAACATTCCTTTAACACAAAGCATTCCACCAGAAGATTAAGTCACGGTGGTAAAAGGTATACTTGAATTTCTAGATGTATGACCAAAAGAATTTACAGGTTATATATCCTATGTGACAGTCTGTAGAAAGAATGATTATTCCCAACTTGGAAGCTACACACTCTTAACCTGGAGGCCACACACAGGCCTTCTTACCTGACAGCGTAAAGCTGACAAGTTTCTGAGAATGCAGATTTCCGGAAGCACCTCCTTCCATGCCTTCCGCTCCCATCTGAAGAAAAAAAAAACATGTATGTGAAATTTCATACAGGGATTACAGTACAGACCATCCCAGGGACCCTCATCTGTTTGCAAGTGCAATAATTTTTATATCAAAATGCATTGTAGGCTATGTCTTTAAATTTTCAAATCTTGGAATAAATATGCAAATGTAGATGCTCAAACACAGGAACAAAGCTTCATATTTAAGTTTAATCTATACCCCAGTTAAGAAATAGGAACTTTGAAATATTTTGTTAATATAATGAACCTACTTTATCTCCTGATGTCCTGTCTCTACCTTTAATAAGAATAAAGTTGTTCATGGTATACATTCCTATAATCACATCACTCAAGAGACCAAAACAAGAGGATTAAAATTTCAAACGCAACCCTTACTCCTTTTCTTCTTGACCGCCCGTGCGTGCGTGCGTGCGTGCGTGTGTGTGTGTGTGTGTGTGTGTGTGTGTATGTGTGTTTGTGTGTGTGTGAGATATAGTTGTTTATGGTGATGTTGCTGTTCTGTTTGAGACAGAGTCTTGCTATATAGCCATGGCTGGCTTGCTTCACTTAGAGTAAATCCCTACCCTTGATTTGAGATCATACTTGATAATAGACCAAATTTCTCATCATTCTGGCCTGCCTTCAACAAGAATTCTATGTTGGTTCTTTTAGCAAGAGTCCCTAGATCCTCCACCCTCTTAGTAATTTTCATCTACTCCCTACATAGCCCAGGCTGGCCTCGAACTCATTTTTGCCTCTCAACTGCTGGGACTTTACCACCATGCCTGGTGGAATATATGTGGTACATAATCAATATATTTATATTACTAATGAAACGAAACACTGAATTCCTTCATATTTAATAGGAAAACCTAGAATAAATACTTATGTTAGATTCACACATATGTACATATCTCTTTTGCCAAGAACTTTTCAGTGTCTTCATAGGTGTCCTACCTCCATTCTAGGCTTCTGTTGATTGTGGTATAGGTATATGACAGACTTTGATAGTTAGTGATAGTGTTGTGCTAAAATCTTTTGTAAATTTTCACAGCAAACAGTAATTTATAGACTACACAGCAAATTTAGACCTTTCTCTCTATGCATGTACAATTACTGCACAATTTATGGTATCCTAAAGAGAAAGTTCTTCATGATGCTCTGCAAAAGGAGTCCATAATGCTGGAAGGGACAGAACTAAAAGCATTGCTTATTCTGAATAACTAAATAACAGAAATTACAATTAATTCTGAAATTCACATTAAGCCCTAGCAAGGTTCTTTCTTGGACCAAACTTTAGTCAAACTGAGCCCTCTGATCAATTAGGCTGACCTTGGGATTCCATCTCCAACCTTGTACAGTGTAGTTTTAAGTTCCACTTCAATGAATAGCAAGCTCCAATCTTAGTCGAAGAATTATTGGCAGCTGATTACTGTTGGGTGAGGAAGAGCTGATCTTCTTGAAGGGAGAGACTCTAGATAGGCTGACAAAACTCTAGTGGATGAACTTGCACTGAGGGACATCCTGGGACACTAACTTTATATAATAGGCCTTAATACAAATGACAAAATGTATGAACTCCAGTGGGGGGCTATGGGAGGGTGCCAAAGGGTAAGGAGGAGGGGGGTATAAAGATGATTTTATGTATGAAATACACAAAAAGTCAATGAAAATTTAAAAAGTTCCACCTCATTTAAACAGACACCCCCCCCAATATGAGGTCACTCTTGATATCAGATAAAATTCCTCATCTCTCACCAGACTCCAGGTAATACCTGATCATTCTGGCCTATCTTCAGCAAAAATTCTGTTTAAGTCAATTTATCAAGAGTTACCATATCCCCCACCCTCTTAGTAATTTTCATCTACTGACACTGTGCCCCCAACTCTGTTCCTTAGCTACAAATCCTCACCTTTCTTTGTTATGTTTGGAACTGAGTCAATTCTATTTTGGGGTCTCTTTTCCCTTACTGCACCAATTCCTGAATAAAATCTATTTTCACCACTTGAAGCACTGTGCAGCGCTGGGTTTCCTCGATACTTCCTCCTCCCTTATCTTTGCTGTACTCCCCATGCTCCTGTAAAAATCAGACACCGTCACAACACAACAGCATCTCTAATCCAAAGAGAGTTGAGAAATCACAGAAGAAGTTCCATGTTTCAGCTTTTGATATATAAATTTCTACTCTCTTTTCTATGCTCCTACACCTTAGACAAGATTATATTGTGTGATCACTTTGCATCATGTACAATATACCACAGTACCATGCAACTATTCTTATTTAATTCCACCCTCTTCTTTTGGTGTGTATGTAATGTGCATGCATGTATATGTGTGTGAATGTTCATGTATATTTGTATGTGCATGTGTATGTGTGTGAAGGTTCAAGTGCATTTGTGTGTGTGTGTGTCTGTACATGTGAAGGTCAGAGAACAATCTCCAGTGTTTGCATCAGGCACTCTTCACCTTTCTTTTGAGAAAGGGTCTTTTGATAGCGTGAAACTCACTATGCACCGAAAATCTGCCTGTTTCTACTCCCCAGTGCTGGGATTACAAACATGCATCATCATGCCTAGCTTCTTGGGATAAAACTCACCTCCTCATGCTAACAAGGCAAGGTCTTTACTGAATAAGCTATCTTTCCAGTCTCTTTAATTTTATTCTCTCATGGATCACAATTTTCACTCAACAAAAATGTGGAACTGAGTACATTGTTTTTATTTCTGACTCATAATTCCCAGATTATCTGGGGTGGAGGCAGCAGCAAATGGTCTAGACAACAGATCGCTGTGACTGTCTGTCCTGCTTTCAGCACACAGGACTATCATGAGGTGGTGCTGACTGCAACTGAGACAGACATGCAGTAACCTGTCCTCTTTTCTGTACCCAGGGTTGCAGTCTGTGAAACTGGGCCTTGCTCTGAATAGAACACAGTAAGACAGACATGTCTCTCCAAAAGTATGACAGCTGTGTCCACCAAATACTTGGTTTGCTGAGTGAGTTATTTGGGACTGAAAAGACTCATGGTCTGTCTTCATTTAACACCTCCAGGCTGGCCTTTAATTCATGATCCCACTGCTTTAGCCTCCCCAAGTGCTAGGACTACAGATATGTATCGCCGTACCTGGCTTATAAATCTATTTAAAATATAAGAAATAATTACGACACCTCTAATTTTTAATTCATTGTGTGGTAAAAGACTACTCTGAAACAATTCTCAAAGCATTCACAGAAAAACGATGTCACCTCTCTGGTGAAAGAGTCATCTGAAATAATACTCAAAGAATTCAATCTTATCACTCACTATAATAAAGCCAGGGAAGACCAAAAACATTGCCACTAATATCGGGTCATTCGTGATAATAAACACATCTGCAGTCAGTGTTTAGAGAGAGCTTTTAAAATAGGCTCACTCCATAGATTCATTCCAGGAAAATCCAGAAGCAACAGTGTCAACCCAGTGCTGAAACAATACAGGGCAGTGAGTGACGGCTGCAAGCACCTGCCCCTCTGGCAGCAGGATTTCCTGCTCCAAGGCTCTGACACATCTTACTGTGTACTCTGATGAATGGCAATGACGCCAACATACAAATGTCAGAGAAGGCACAAGCTTTTTTCAAGCTCGATTCATGCAGAAGGTTATGTGGGAGAGGAGGCTACACAATGATGAGGACAGAGGCTCATTTCTCGACCTGAGGACTTTATCAGCTGTCTCTTTTGCATCTGGTCATGGAATAACCACACTAAGTGAGCTCATGGCTATCAGTACTGTTAGTCATAGCAACTAAGCACATGTTGTAGATTTGGGGACCGTCTGCTATAGAAGCAGAGCGCTAACCTCCCCAAATGAGGTCAGAGACAAAGAGCCAGACTATTTCCAAATTGACCTGAAATTGACTGAGCACCCCTTCTATTAGTCTTTTCTGCCTGCAGTGCTGCTATGTACACAAAGCTCTAAAATCATATTGGAGCAATTAATTATCCCCACACTGTCTACAGATTTTGATAGAGTAATTTCACTGCAGAATCATTGGAATGTTTTAATTGGCAGCAGATTATAAATACTTACCCCCTTCAGTGATACCTAGATCTTGAAATTGCTCATCTAAAAAAAATTCTAAATTCAGAAAAATGTTAGCTTTATTACTTATTGTCTAATTTCACTCAAAATGAGATCTGGAAATAACTTATTTTAAATAGCTCTCTTCTTCTAGCTGTGCAACTTTTCATTTTACAACATCAATGAGAGGCTAGTCTAATCCAATGTTTATGCTAACATGACAGATTTTGTAGTCACAACTCATCTTTTTTAGCTTTTAATTTTTGAGAATTTCAGAAATAAGTAGTTTCTGCATTATTTCCATCCCTCCCAGTCCCCCACCAACTCCTCCCATGTCCCCAAATGCCTCTCAATTTCTTGTCCTTTTCTTTGATTATTCTTATTACATATGCATACATTTATAAATATACATATTTAAAATACAGAGTCCATTTAGTGGTACCTGTGTTTAGGGCTGTCCATTTGGGATTAGATAACCTCTCAGGGCACTAGTACCTGGAGAAAACTGATTCGCCCTCCCTCAGCATGCACTGATTGCCTGTACCTCTCCATCCTGAGGTGGGACCCCATGTGTAGTCAACAACTCTTACTCTTTTCAGGACCTTCGAAGTCTTATATAGTAATGTAGGCTATTTTATATTCTAAACAAGGCTTACTACAATGGAGACATCAATATAATTGCTATCTGAGATACTGAAGAATTTCCACACATTGTTTCTTTTGCCTGGAATGTTTTTCCTTCTCTTTTTCACCCAAATAACTTCCATTCATCATTCAGGCTGTCTCTCAAGCATGCCTTCTTCAGGGAAGTCTTCCGGGACCTTCCAGATCATGACAGATCTTACTAGTACATGCTCTCACAGCTCCACTTCACTTCCCCTCATACAATTATCATTGAAATAATTTGATGGACGTCATTGTCCTTGCTACAGCAATGAGAGCAACAAGTGTTCTTTTTAGCATTTGGCCTCCAGTGATAGACAAAATGCCTGGCACTTAGCAAACACCCAATGGATATATGTGCAAATAAATAAGTAAAAATAAAACCTGCCTGATTCAGAGGCATGAGCACTAAGAGACAGTAGAAGGCAGGGCTGGACAATTTCAAAATTCCATCTACAGAGATCATTTTCTGAATTTAGGGACATTATCTTGGCCACTTGCCAATTTCTAAAACAGCAACCATCTATAAATGTATACATGACGCACACACACTCCTCCACACAATTGTTAAGAGTCTACATCATAGGAGTCAATATTTTTTCTAGATTTTTATAACCAGTTTTTATTCATGAGTAATAAAAATTTCAAGATTTGCATACAGTAGATTCTGAGACTCTCCCTTTATGAACCACCCGAGTCCAACCTCTCATGTACAATGGATCCATATATTGTAAGAATGCTAAAGTTTTGCATTTGGTCTACCAAACGAAAAAAATCAGAAAATTGTGAAAAGCAACCACTGTTCTAGAAACAGACAATTTTATTTCAATAGTCCAACATAACCAGCTTCCTCCAAGAGTAAATCAGAAGGTTTCCTCATCTTCTTAATGAAGACATTGGCTTCCAGTGAGTGGTATCATTAGGCACCGGACCCCAACTCAGCATTTTGAGGGATTCAATCTAAGACCTTGGAGGAAACAGCTCATTTATGACTCATGTCTTGAACTCTCTTTAGACAAAAGCTCCTTGAGGTGACTGGCAGGTAGAATCACTACAATTTAAGAGGGCACTCTTCCCCTTTTATATACCAAATTCACTTAAATTGTATCTAAGATGCAATATCACCATTTCCTACCAACCAGGCTTAGGACCCTTCATGACAGAACACTCACTTCTGTGCTTACGAGGTTCCCAAGAAATGCTGTTGATACAGGACTGTTATGTGTCAAGTAGTTTTCCACTGATTTGTATTGCAGATTCAGGTTTGTCAGCCTTGTAAGTTATTTCCTTCCCTAATACAGTGCCCACACTATTATGTGTTTCCTTTTCATTGTTCCTCAGGGTTGCACAGGCAAAAATAGAACTTGTGTCTCTTCATGGACCACCCCCCACCAGGAAGCTGGCAATGAGGGGCACTCACCATCACAGCTGGGTTCTTCACCGTGATGCAGGGGGTTGTGGCTCGAAGGGCTCCACTAATGCCGTGGTAGTATTTGAAACAGATTTTTATCTCCGCTGCAAAGCAATGGGAGAACACTAAATCCATTGAGGAAACTGTCACATCCTTCTCAGGCGATCCCACTCTGCATGGGTCTGTTCTAATCAGAGGCAACAGATTTTACCAAATCCTGTTGGATATTTTCTTCTTCTCTTTCTTTGTAATGTCTTCATATGTAACCTAGCTGGTATGGTGTTTACTATGTAGCTCAGGATGCCTTGATCTCTCAGTCCTCTTACCTCAGCCTTCCAAGTGCTAGGGTTACAGCATGTGCCACCAAGCCTACCTTTATATGATTTGCTGAAACTTCCTGAGAATATCTCAAATGTATCAGAAAAATGATGCACACAAACAACACACTGAAATATGGTGTAGTGATAGGGATAAGACCAGTTATGTTTACAAAGGTGTACCCCTCATGTCTGTGCCATTCACATGAGCCTGCTCTGGGTTACAGGTGAGTTGTTTAAGCCTGCTGTAAGTCAGGTAAATAAGAAACGACAGAACCGAGACCCAAATCAAATCTGTCCATTCTAGGCTTAACTTGTAACTTCTTCAATATAACTTTGTTCTCTATTTCTATGAAAGCATATAGAAACAGAGAACAAAATAAGTATGGATTCTCACGGACTGTCTAGGAACCCATAGGACTTTAATTTTCCAAGCGACTTAAATGAACCACTAAACAAGCGATCAAATTTGGGATCATATATACAAGCATTAAAAAACCCATATATCTTGTAAATTTGTTCAGATAATTTGGACTTGAGAAAAATCAATACAAACATTTATGGGTTTTTAAAAAAGTAATTACAGTTTCAAAAAGCATGAAGTGAAAGAAAATGTGTCAAATAAAAACCCAGAGTCATGGGAATTTCTCAGGAGACCGAGGTCTGAATCACAGGGAGATGTCTTTTGCCCCAGGTGTCTTCTGTAGAGGTAATGGTGCTGATAAGCAGGCCAGGCCCGAGATGGAGAGTTCTGAGATGCAGGAGGGAGTTCTTCCCTCAACTGAGTCACCAGAATCATTAAAGTGGGGCTGTTCCACAGATTTTCCTTAGGTTAATCTTCCACTGCCTTTCCTGAGCATGCCGAATGGCATCCTATCTTGGAGTATTTGGCTTTCTTATTTTAAAACAAAGATGCAATAATTAAAGACAAACCCCCTTCTGAGAACTTATATTGCCACACTCTTCTAATCAATGAGCAAACATTCAGTCTCAGGGAAAGTTCCAACACAGGGTAAACTATCAAGCCCTTCTTTTATGTGCATTCACTACTGTCCAATCATTCACAATTTAGCTAGCATCACCAACCAAAAGATTTTTATTAGCTGGGTATGGTGGTGCATACCTTTAATCCCAGCACTCAAGAAGCAGAAGCAGGCGGATGTCTGTGCCAGGGAATTCAGAAGGGACTAAGCTAACTATCTTATAGTTTAGCTGCTGAAGTGACAATACCAGGTATAACAAAACACACATGAAAAACATTTAAAAGGAAAAGCACCAGGAGGAAGAGCATGGTGACCAGGGACGTGATTAGTGACACCATGACAGAGTCACAGAATAAGCAAGTCCTATGGCTGAGTCAGGAGGAAGAAGTGGCAGAGCAGGCAAGTAGGAAGGAACACACAGGGTGTGAGCAGCAGCCTAATGCTGCTGTTACTCTGCCTGTGTCCTAGACAGAATGAGGGCTGTTTGCACCTGAACAGGAGCTCCCCAGCTGCTTTAGCAGGACACAGGTAAAGATTTCTGCTCCTTAAAATACAGGAAGGTTTCATGCAGAGCAGGATTTTTCACCTTCAAAAATTATTGTGTGCTTTTGGAGGGCACTCACAATTTTTAAAAGGTACAACTAAATGGGAGAGAGTGTTTTTTTTTTTTATTGTTATGTTTGACTATATTGGTGATTGGAAGAGGTAACTGGAAGATTATTCTAGAGTGTAGAAATAGGTTGGTGCCCAGGTGTCACCACTTTCAGCTACAATGTGTGATCTCTAACTGCAAGAGGAAAATTTAAAAAATAAAAACAAAACTATTATAGAGAAATACATCTAGGGGCAGGTAGAAAGAAAAGGGCAGAGCATCTGACTGGGGAGAAGCCAGGAAGCCAGCCTCGTTCAACAGCAAGCGAAGAGAACATGGACAGAGAGCAAGGGGTGCCCGGCTACTCTAAATGCTTCCCCTACAACTGGGTATGGCAGGAAGTGAATCCTGCTGCTGGCTTCAAATTGCACAGGGAAAGAAAACAGAACAAAAATCTCAAGTCTATGAAAAACAAGAGTATTTTCTCCCAAGTGTTTGCTCACACAAGTGTGTTACCTCAGAGGCCAGCAAGTCGGGGGAAAGGTGAAGCCTCCTGCATTGACCCATAAGGACCTGCTGTGGATTGAGGCAGCTCTAGTCTCAGGAAGAAGAGTACAAACACAACCCAAGTGATGTCTTCTCCTGTAAGTCCCCTCTGACCCCTGAAACCAGTCATGAATTACAGAAATGTATTTTAATCCTTTTAACAATCTTCAGGATAGTTTGCTTATAGAGTTACTAAAGTAAAGATTTATGCCTTCTATTTGAATGCTGACAAGACAAGGTGTCTTTTTATCTTCAAACTTTGAACCGTCTAATGTTCATAAATACAAATAACGATGTCCTGAGGCAACAGCTCTTCAGAGCATCCCCACCACGAAGGAGCCAGGTGAATACAGGGATAGGAGGCAGAAGGGACTTCGGACAGCATTCAGGCACTTAAATCATTCTAGGAAAGGGGATTTCTGTAACTGTGTGGTTCTGATGTCATATTTTAAAGCAATGATGCTACCATCTGTTTAAAAGAAGATTTCTAATTTGATGTATGAATAAAATATTTCTAGATAAGTAATGTGAAACTAGTAACTAACTACTTGCCTTCATTGTCACTGGCCCAAAGTTTCAGAGACAGTTACTTCTGCTTTATGCATGTTTTAAACATTATGTTCTTTTCAGAAATCATCTATTCACAAATTATCTTCTAAAAGCAATCAACTCAGCCCTAATCAGTCCTATGCATATACAATGACATCAATAGCTATTTCTGAGAAAAGGCTCTACTGTCTACGTCCTGCGAGTGGTGGGATTGCATGGAAGACTGGGATCTTTTCTATCCCCTTAAATAATGGTCTGATTCACTTAGGCAGTAGCTCACAGCTTGTTTTTACTGAGAAAGTCTTGATTTGTCCAGGTTTTTACAAGCTGAATATAAGATTGAACTCTAAGTGTGAATGGAATGTAAACAACCTTCTTCCTTCAATCATTTCTATTTCACTAAATAAAATAATGCAAAAACTAAGCTAATTGCAACTTATCCTGCACGCAACATGATTTTAACTATTGACCCATCTGCTTTCATGAAATTCTTAATATATTGGTTTCTATTCACAGCGCTTATATTCAGAGGGCACAAACTGAGGATGACTAAGTGCATTTTAATCTTCACGCCTCTGAAGCAGTTTACTCAGTTCCAGTAGCATGCTCCTTTGCCATTTATGCATTACTGCAAGTTGTCTTAATAATCTTTAATAAGGGTATGGAGTGGGACACCCTTTCTTGGTGAAAGTGCAGAATAACAATCATGAAAACAAAAGATGGACAATATCACTGTAGATGTAGAGAAATCTTACAGGATAAGAGAGCTAAGTGAACCCAAACATAAAGTATACAGAATGAAATGAAAAGCACCAAATCTCCAAGCATCAAGAACAATTGTCAGAGGAAAGGGACTGAGAAATGACGGCATTCAGAGTAGGGGCTCTGATAATGAAAACAGGAGGCTGAGGCCACTCTCCCAGCACAAAGCATTCTCTAATGTGCATATTTTAGCAAGGCACTAAGGTGAGCTCTGCCACTCAGTGATGTGACTCTCATGTGTACCGCTTGCGTTGCTAATGTTTCCTAATCCTGTATCTACTTCTAAGGGTGGAGACAGATACATATGTAAAATGCTATATAATGTTTACAAATATTAATGTTTTGTTACTATCTTTAACAATCAGAAAGCAATTCATTAGCAGCAACACACAATAAGGTTTACAATTTCTTGGCTCACTCATTGATCCAACATTAGTGAGTACCTACAACAGTGCTTCAAATGAAGTTGGAAATCAATATTTCATGATGGATGAGGAAAATGAATGGATACATAAAAGGATGAAAGGTAAGGCCCCCCCCAAAAAAACCCACTAAAGTATGAATGAAGGAAGAGCCACAGTTTATGAAAGGCTATATAGCAGAAAATAAACATCTTGCATGTCAAGACAACTTTCAAAACTTCAAAACTAAAGAATGCACACTGCAAAAATGACCCAGCCATCTGGCTGTTGAAAGTAAGTCTCTGGAGGCAATGCAGCTCAAGAGTGGCTGACAGTCTTTGTGTCTTCCTTTCTTTCTTTGTGTGGATGTGGTGTATGTATGTGTTTCCTGTGCATACACATGTGTGGAAGGCAGAGGTCAATGTTAGATGTCTTCCCTAATCACCCTCTACCTTAGTTTTTTTGAGAAAGAATCGCTCACTGAACCTGAAGCTCATTGATTGGGTTAGAGCAGCTGGCCAATGAACTCCAGTGCCTGCCACCTCTCCCCAAATGCAGTGCTGAGGTTCCAGACAAGTAATGCTGAGCCCTGCTTTTTATGTGGGTGCACAGGATTCAAACTTGAAGTGTAATAAATACAGATGAAGCATTTCTCTCAATGCTTATAAGTACAGTGTCTTTTATAAATGTCATGTTGAACCCAGAGGCTGACTTGGGCATTCTTAAGGCAGCTTTGCAGCATAATGAAATTTTACTCAGCTCTTATGAGCTAATGGTATGGAACCTTAGAAAAATGGGTAAGAAGTAGAGATAGCTTTTAAAATTCTAGATATGGTCCACTTCTGACCTTGAAAATACATTTTTTTTTTTTTGGTCTTTTTGAGACAGGGTCTCCCTGTAGCCCTAGCTGTCTTGGAACTCACTATGTAGACCAGGCTGGCCTCGAACTCACAGAGATCTGCCCCTCTGCCTC